AGCCTTCAAGCCTATGTCAATTTGTACAACCACATTGGAGAGAGTTTAGCAAAGTTAGTCATCTTGTGTCAGGTTCCCAAGAAGCAGAGCCTCCCATGGGGATTCAGAAAGTGATTTGTTAAAGGAATGCTTTTAGAAGAGGAAGGAGTTAGGCAGTGATGTGGTCTTGGCTCACTAGCTTCAGCCGGGTCTCAAGAGATACTCTGGAGCAAGAATTGCGCCCACTGAATCAGTCCCATCTTGAGGCAAGGAGCTAGTCTTGTACAACCCCTGTCAGTCAGCCATTGACAGCTGGCTCCCCCCTTCTCCTCTGGTCCAGAGAAGGGGCAGCTGTGAGCCGTAAGTACCCAACATTCACAGCAGCTGGGGATGGCAGTGGGTGCGCCAGCCAATGAAAGGGATTTGAGCAGGACTCCAAGAGCATCCATTAGTAAAATTAAAGGTGCCCCTGACCTTAACTTCAACAATTCATTCTTAGCTATATACCCTCAAGACCCTTGCCTGCATGTGCCCAAAGATAAATGTACGAGAGAGATCATCTCAGCATTGTTTATAATGGCAAAAAAACTAGAAATAACCTAAATGTCCACCAGCAGGAGAATGGATAAGCAACTTGTAGTATATACTTAATATAGCAGTAAAAATAATGAACTTGAATCTATGTATCAGTATGGATAAAGCTCAAAAACATAATTTGAGTGAAAAAAAAACTTTTAGAAGAATACTGCAAAACAATGCTAAATCTTTCTGAATATGCATAAATTTCAAAAATGGCAATCAGACAATACATACATACGTACATCTTACAATATGTAACCTTTTGGGGATTGGCTTTTTCCACTCAGCGTAATTTTCTGGAGACTCATCCGAATTGCATGTATCAGTGTTGTTGTTGTTAGGTGCTGTCGAGTCGGTTCTGATTCATAGTGACCATATGCACCACAGAACAAAACACTGCCTGGTCCTGTGCCATGCTCACAATCGTTATTATGTTTGAGCCCATTGTTGCAGCCACTGTGTCAATGCATATCATTGAAGGTCTTCCTCTTTTTCACTGACCCTGTAATTTACCAGGCATGATGGCCTTCTCCAGGGACTGATCCCTCCTGACAACATGTCCAAAGTACATAAAACATAGTCTTGCCATCCTTGCTTCTAAGGAGCATTCTGGTTGTATTTGCACGTATCAGTAGTTCATTATTTGTATTGTTGAGTACTATTCCATGGTATGGATGTACCACAGTTTGAAGGACATTTGAGTTGTTTCCAGTTTGGGGCTATTACAAATAAAGCTGCTATGAACACTTGTGTACAGATTTTTGTGCAAACATAAGTTTTCATGTCTTTGGGATGCACGTCCAAGAGTGCACTTGCTGGGTCATATAGCAATTGCACATTTAGTTTTATCAGAAACTGTCAAACTTCTTTTCAGTTTGGCTGTACCATTTTATATTCTCACCAGCAATGTACGAGAGATCCAGTCTCTCCAAATGTTCTCTAGATTTTGGCGTTATAACTTTTTTTGAACGTCAATGAATTCTTTTTGGTATAGTGACTCTGTATATTCCTTCCATCTTCTTTTGATGCTTCCTGTGTCGTTCAGTATTTTGCCCACAGAATCCTTCAATATTGCTACTCGAAGCTTGAATTTTTTCTTCATTCTTTCAGCTTGAGAAATGCCGTGCTTGTCCTTCCCTTTTGGTTTTCTAACTGCAGATCTTTGCACATTTCGTTAGAATACTTTACTTTGTCCTCTCAGGCTGCCCTTTGAAATCTTCTGCTCAACTCTTTTACTTCATCATTTTCTTCCATTCACTTTAGCTACTCGATGTTCAAGAGCAAGTTTCAGAGTCTTTTCTGACATCCATTTTGGTATTTTCTTTCTTTCTTGTCTTTTTAATGACCTTTTGCTTTCTTCACGTATGACATCCTTGATGTCATCTCACAACTCGTCTGGTCTTTGGTCATTAGTGTTCAATGCATCAAATCTATTCTTGAGATGGTCTCCAAATTCAGGTGGGATATACTCAAGGTAGTATTTTGGCTCTTGTGGACTTGTTTTAATTTTCTTCAGCTTCAAGTTGAAGCTGAAAATAAGCAATTGATGGTCGAGGTTCAAGCATTTCAGGAAGTAGCATATGATCAAGAACCGATGGTACTAAAAGAAGTTCAATCTGTACTGAAGGCATTGCTGAAAAACAGGGCTCCAGGAATTCACAGAATACCAACTGAGATGTTTCAACAAATGGATGAAGCACTGAAAGCGCTCACTCATCTATGCCAAGAAATTTGAAAGACAGCTACCTGGCCAACTGACTGGAAGAGATTCACATTTGTGTCCATTTCAAAGAAAAGTGATCCAACAGAATGCAAAAATTATCAAACTATATCATCAATATCATACAAAAGTAAAATTTTGCTGAAGATCATTCAAAAATGATTGCAGCAGTATATTGACAGGGAACTGCCAGAAATTCAAGCTGGATTCAGAAGAGGACAGGGAAAGAGGATATCACTGCTAATGTCAGATAGATGCTGGCTGAAAGCAGAGAATACCAGAAAGATGTTTACCTATGTTTTATTGACTATGCAAAGGCATTTCACTGTGTGGATCATAACAAATTATGAATAACATTGTGAAGAATGGGAATTCCAGAACACTTAATTGTACTCATGAGGAACCTGTACATAAGCCAAAGGGCAGTCATTTGAATAGAATAAGGGAATACTGTGCGGTTTAAAATCAGGAAAGGTGTGCATCAAGGTTGAATCCTTTTCACCATACTTATTCAATCTATATGCTGAGCAAATAATCAGAGAAGCTGGACTACATGAAGAAGAACACAGCATCAGGATTGGAGGAAGACTCATTAACAACTTCCGATATGCAGATGACACAACCTTGCTTGAAGAAAGGAAAAAGTACTTGAAGCACTTACTGATGAAGATCAAAGACTACAGCCTTCAGTATGGATTACACCTCAACATAAAGAGCAGAAAAATCCTCACAACTGGACCAATAAACAATATCATGATAAATAGAGAAAATATTGAAGTTGTCAAGGATTTTATTTTACTTGGATCCACAATCAACATCCATGGAGGCAGCAGTCAAGAAATCAAATGACGTATTGCATTGGACAAATCTGCTGCAAAAGACCTCCTTAAAATGTTAAAAAGCAAAGATGTCACTTTGAGAACTAAGGTGCACCTGACCCAAGTCATGATATTTTCAATCCTCTCGTATGCATGCAAAAGCTGAATAATTAATAAGGAAGGTAAGAGAAGAACCAATGCCTTTGAATTATGGTGTTGGCAAAGAATATTGAATACACTATGGGGTGCCAGAAGAACAAACAAATCTATCTTAGAAGAAGTACAGGCAGAATGTTCCTTAGAAGCAAGGATTATGAGACTTCATCTCATGTTCTTTGGACATGTTATCACTCTCATATACTTTGGACATGTTATCAGGTGGGACCAGTCCCTGGAGAAGGATATTATGCTTGGAAAGGTAGAGAGCCGTCGGAAAAGAGGAGATGGATTGACACCATGGCTGCACCGATGGGCTCAAGCACAGCAACAATTGTGAAGATGGCACAGGACCGGGTAGTGTTTTGTTCTGTTGTACATAGGGTCGCTATGGGTGGGAAATGACTCGGCGGCACCTAACAACAACAACAACTTTTTATTTTATTATTTTTTATTTTAGCCATTCTGACAGGTGTTTAGTGATATATCATTGTGGTTTTAAGTTGCAGTTACCTAATAGCTAATGGAGCTCTGGTGGCCCAGTTCAGCTGCTAATCATGGTTAAGAGTTCGACTGATAACCAAAAAGTTGGCAGTTGGAATCCACCAGCTGCTCCTTGGAAACCCTATGGGGCAGTTCTACTCTGTCCTATAGGGTCACTATGTGTCAGACTCGACTAACAGCAACCGGTTAATAGTTAATGATACTGAACATTTTTTCATGTGCTTTTATCCATCTGTACATCCTCTTCAGTGAAATGTCTCTTCACTTCTTTTGCCCATGTTCTAATTGGATATTTTGGCTTTTTATTATAGGGTTTTCAGTGTTCTCTACATATTCTGGATGTCAGTCCTTTGTCAGATAAATTCTTGCAAATATTTTCCCCCAGTCTGTAGCTTTCCATTTCCCAAGTGATGGATACCTCTTAATAGGATTCATTTTCTTATCATAACTTTTTACAGATCAAAAGTTTTTAATTTGATGATGTTCAATTTAGAAATTTGGGGGGGGTGGATTTTTTATCATACTTTTGGTGTCAAGTCTAAGAACTCTTTGCCTAGTCCTACATGCCAAAAATTCTCTTCTGTTGGTTTTTCCCTAGCAGTGTTACAGCTTTACATTTTAAGTGTAAGTCCGTGATCCATTTTGAGTTGATTTTTGACAAAGTGCGAGACTTATTTTTTGTTTCTGTTTTGCCTATCAATTGCTCCAGCAACATTGGTTGAAAAGACTATCTTTCCTCCATTGAATTGCTTTTACATCTTTGTCAAAAATTAGTTGGGCATATTTCTGGGTTCTTTCTTTTGTTTCATTTGTTATGTGCTTATCCCTCTAATACCACACAATCCGATTATTGAACGTATATAATAAGCGTTGAAATTGAGTAAACTCTTCACTATACAATATTAGACAATATTGGCTTTATTTGCTAATATTCTGATCATTAACCCACCTTCCATTAGTTCTCTAATCTAGTTTTGATAAAGTAGCACGAAAGTCTGCACAGACTGTTAAAATTATGAACATTGTAAAAAAAAACTCCTCTTTTGATAAGTTATTTTATAAGTAAAATAAATAAGCGACTCTAATAGATTAACTTGAAAGCAAAATGCAAAATTTTGTTTTCCTCAACAATACAAACTCGTGATGCGGAATCAGGGAGGAGCAGAGATGGGCACAGGTGGGGTAGAAATTTCTGTGAAGTCCCTCACTGGAGAGCATGGAGAACTACAGTTTCTCTGCAGAAGTCACTGGCCCAACAAGAAGGAGACTTTGCCCCTAAGAAGTCTCCCCAGAGCACCCTTCATGTCCTTGTTCCTTAGGCTGTAAATGAAGGGGTTCAGCAGGGGAGTCACCACTGTGTACATGACAGCAGCTGCTGTGTCCTCCTCTACTGAATCAGAGGAAGAGGACGAGGGGCACAGATAAGCCCTGATCACTGTCCCAAAGAACAGGGCAACAACGGCAAGGTGGGAACCACAGGTGGAGAAGGCTTTGCACCTTCCCTGGGCAGAGGGGACTCGGAGGATGGCTGAAACAATATGGATGTAGGAGACCAGGATGAACATAAAGGGGATTAAAATGACTGCTCCTCCCAAGAAGAGGAGCACAAGCTCATTGACCTGCGTATCAGAGCAAGACACCTTCATCAGGGGTCCCAGATCACAGAAGAAATCAGGAATGACCTTCTTAGAGCAGAAGGAAAGTCGAAATACGAGGAAGGTGTGGGTCATGGCAACGAGATTGGTAAGGGTCCAGCAGGCAGTCACCAGGAGGGTACAGTGCCAGGGGCTCATGATTATTGTATAGTGGAGAGGGTGGCAGATGGCCACATAGCGGTCATAGGCCATGGTGGCCAGGAGAAAGATGTCCATGTCTCCAAAGGTCAAAAAGAAGTAGAGCTGAGCCATACACCCTGCATAGGAGATGGACCTGCTCTGGCTCTGGATATTCACCAGGGCCTTGGGCACAGTGGTGGAGGTGAAAAGGATCTCTGCACAGGACAAGCTGGCCAGGAAGAAGTACATGGGGGTGTGGAGACGCGTGTCGGTGCCAATGGCCAGGACAATAAGCAGGTTTCCAGCCACGGTGACCACATACATCCAGAGGAACAGCAGGAAGAGGATGCGCTGCTGCTCTGGTCGCTCCGAGAGTCCCCAGAGGAGGAACTCAAAGATGTTGGTCTGATTCCCTCCTGCCATGTGCTCGGAGGTCAGAGAATGAGAGCACAAGTAACACACATAAAAATTCTCTAAGCATATTTCATTCTAGATAATTGGTGAGCATGTCATTGTCTGAACTCTAAAGAAAAAGAAGGAAAGAATGACCTTAATGCATTTGTATTGACCACATACTATGTGCACTGTGAACTTTTATTGAAACTAAATACACCATGCTAGGAAGTGTGGGAGATACAACTCAAAAAAATTAAAATAGATTCCTTGTTTGATTTCTCTATGCTCCTTTCTGTCCCAAATTTTTTTAGTTGTAGTTTCTTTTTACGTACCCTTTGTGGACTCAAGATACCTTCATTCATTCATTCTACAGATATTAAGTACCAACTGTGAGCCTGACACAGTGCTAAGTAAATAAAACTGTGATAGTCCTCAACCTCAGAGAATTTCAATCTAATGGGATGGACGTAACTACCTATATTAAAATCTTATGAAATTTGTGATTCAGGGTTCTCCACCCAAACAGCTGTTGTCCCTGCATCAAAATTCCACAATATTTTGTCCACAAAAAAAAATTCTTTTTTTTTTTTTAAGTGAGCTCAAAGAACTAGGCAAGGTCCAGGGTGTGAGAGACCTTGTGCCCTTAGCTGAAGAGCCATGACCTTCTTCTGTGCAGGGCAGAATGCTGTTAAAGGATTTTTTTAAAATATTTTATTGTGTTTATATATACCTATATATGTATGCACATGTACTCCCATATACCTTCCCACACTCATATAGCGTATATATCCACCTATGCAACAAGTCACATATTTTTTGCTTGTTGTTACTGTTGTTGCAAAATTGTATATGTTATAGCATTTACCATAGTTGCCCTTTATTCTTGTGTATCTCTCAGTGTCTTTATTTTCCTTGGTCAAGTTATGCTGACTTCCTCCATATTGTATATTGCCTTTCCCATAACCAGAACTATCATGTGTCTACTATCAGTAATTGATTCCCCCTCCCACCCGCTCTCATTCCTGGTAACCAAGCAGGATTAGAGGCAGTTATATTAATGTGGCAAGACTCAGTCTACAGGATTAGATTGTATCTTGAGTCAATCTCTTTTGAGATATGAAAGAGAGAAGTGAGCAGAGAGACAGGGGGACCTCATTACCACCAAGCAAGAAGAGCCAGGATCATGTGTGTCCTTTGGACCTGAGGTCCCCGTGCTGAGAAGCTCCTAGACTCAGGGGAAAACTGATGACAGGGACTTTCCTCCAGAGCCAACAGAGTGAGAAATTCTTCCCTGGGAGCTGGCACGCTCAATTCAGACTTGTAGTCTCCTAAACTGTGAGAGAATAAACTTCTGTTCATTAAGGTTATCTACTAGTGATATTTCTGTTATAACTGCACTAGATAACTAAGACATGCTGAATGGAGTGAAACATTAAATGTTGACAGGTGATGATAGCCTTACAGACTCAGAGAAAGAGAAAAGCTCTAAAAACTAATTCTATCAAAAAGTAGATAAAACTTTAGAAGTTCTCTGTATCCTCTAAAAAGATGCAAAAGTAGGTATCTTCTAAGAAAGAAGGGATATAAAAGGAGCTAAGCTAAGAAAAAGATGCAGAGAAACAATTTATATTTGAGTTAGTTATTCAGGGCTAAGTAGTGACAACCTAGATCCTAATTTCTACATTTCTCTACTAAAAACCATGCAAAGTGACAAGGAGGAGAAATAAAAGTAAAAAATATGTATACTCTCAGTGAAACTAGGGAACAGAGATATCCCATAATTCTAAAAAAACTTGTAAATTAGAAGAAGAAAACACCCCAAATCAGCCCAAATAGCAGCAGGAAACAATGGAAAGTTGCCAGAATCCACAAAACCTCTGCTAATATTCATGCCTATAAAGAGAGCTGAAATGCCTGGGTGGTGCGAACTACTCGCCTGCTAACTGAAAGGTTGGAGATTCAAGACTACCCAGAGGTGCCTCAGAAGAAAGACCTAGCAATATACTTCCAAAAAATTGACCATTGAAACCCCGTGGAGCACATTTCTACTCTCATACACTTTGAGGTCACCATGAATCAGAATCGACTTGATGGCAACTAGTTTTGTAAACAGCGGACCTTGCCCTGAGTGATAATTACTGTGGCTAGGTCTTAGAAAACAGAGAGAGACATGAGTGCTGGAGAAAGTAATGAAAATGTGTACAATATACATAAGAGACCCAAGTAGCATATATAAAGAAACCTCCAGCAACAGAAAAGGGAGTGGTTGAGCTGAGAATCTGGACAAGTTACCCTAACTCTGACTCTAAATCTTTGGTCCAAAAAAATGCAGATCATTCATATATGAATAATAAATAATGGTTATGTTGCTGGACCTATACAGAAATATCATAAGAGCTCTGAAAATTCAAGCTTCTCATCAGACGAGAACGCACTAGAAAAGTATCCTTCTGGAGACAAATTGCAACACAATATATCATCAAGAATTTTTGAAACTTAACTAAGCAGTTGGATTTAGGAAAGAAAATTACAAAAAAGAAAAAAAGAAAAAAAAAAAAAAAACAGAGAAGAGATGGCCAGACAACAGGAAAATGTGAAATAGGAACTGAGAAAACTCTGGAAAGAAATTGAAAGAAAAGTTGTTTCTTCATTGAAGACTAATAACAAAGATTTCAAAGGAGAAAGGACAATACAAAAATCATTATAAAGACATAAAGTATAGAAATAAGGAAAGCAATTAAAAAAAATAAGGAATAAAATAAAAGGGTTAGAGAGAAACTGATGGGTATAGAAGACTGGCAAAGGAGCTTCAACATATTATAAGCAGAGTCCTCAAAGAAGAAAACTAAACATTGGAATAGAAGATACATTTAAAATTATAATTTAAACAAGCTTTCCTGTAATAACAGAAGATTGTAACGTACATATTGAAAAAGCATGTTATATACTGGGATAATGATATAGAATGGTTAATTGCAAAGCATATCTTAGTAAAATCATTAGACTTAAAATAAACTAAGAATCCTTCAGGCAACCAGTGCTGTATCCAACCCAACAAAAAAAATCAGGAAACTACTAAGGGAAGAAAATCAGGTTGGCTTCAGTCATGACAACAACATTCAGTGCCAGAAAATAATAAAAGAACACCTTCAAGAAACTCAAAAATATAAAGCATGAGCCAAGAATTTTATGTCACTCAAGCTGTACTTTAAACTTAAGGACTATAAGCAAAGAGTTTTGAACATGAAATTCCGGGGATATTGTTCCCATGAGCTCCTCCTGGGGAATCAATTCCGATAACCAAGGAAGGGCTGGAGTAACCTCAGCAAAAAGTCTAGTGATGAACGCTGAATATATATTCATTGCATAACCAGGATCAGAATACAGAGATTAAGGTGAGAGAATGATATGTAAATGCAATATACTCTAATGATGTGGAAATAACTAACCAATAAGTGGAAGGAGAAGGAGGAAAAGAGTAGGAAGTATAATAAATTCCTTTTTCTTTCTTGGAAATAGTTACGAGAAACAGAATATCATATTTACAAGGTAAGTCGAATAACAGAAGCTTAAGCCTATTTAAGAGGACAAAGATAAATGAAGATAGATAATACTACTGATGAAATAGTATTATTGGATGGTAGGAAAGAGGGAGGTGAAGGGAAAAGAAAGATTGAGAGTTAATTTTGTTGTTGCTTGTAATAAAGAACAAAAGACACTGAAGAAAGAGACTAAGGGCATTATACTAAGGTATTAGCATAACAGAAACCTTCCTATGATCAGATGGAGAGTGAGAGAGACGCATGTCCTATCCCCACAGAGACCTGGGCCGGGGGTCAGGAGACCTGGGTTCCTGTGCCAGCAATGCCCCTGCCTCAGTTTCCCCAGCTGTACAATGAGAAACCTGGCTGAGACTGTCCCTTGGGATGGTTCAGCTCAGATGGAGTTCTAGCATTCTGTCTAACGCATAAAACCAGGTGCCCACGGAGTCAGTTCTGACTCATGGCAACCCCGTGTGTGTCAGAGTAGAACCGTGCTCCACAGGGTTTTCAATGACTGATATTTCAGATGCAGATCATCAGGGCTTTCTTCAGAGGCACCTCTGGGTGGAATCCAAACTCCAAATTTTAGGTTAGGTGCACCTGGACTGTGCACACACTCACGCACACACTTTCCACCTGACTCTATCTGCCTAGAAGTCTAAAACCTCTGCAACTTGGTATAGAGAATTAACTGCAGGGTTGCTTTGATATAGAGCAAGAGAGTACTACGCATTCTCCATTCCCATCCTGATGTAAAAGATCAGTCCATCGGAAGGAATTTCTCAAACAAAGCACAGGGTGCCCAACGTTCTGGGTCTCCCCACTATGGCTAGAGTCTGAAATTCAAGGCCATCTTAAAAGATTCACCCTGGGATTTTCTGTGTTAAGGGAAACACTTCTTTCACCAGGGGAGCTGGCTCTAAACCACCCAAGCTCCCATCTGCCAGAACCCTCCTTTGTCAGCTCTCCTCCATCACCCATTTTCTGTACCCTTCACTGAGTGACAGCACCTATTTTCTGTACCCCTCACATAGACTGCCTTGGGAATTTCTTGTCTTCTGGTTGGAAAACCATTTAGAGTTTATATTGCCCTTCCCTCCACACAGTGCAAGTGTCAAGATTTCATTATACTTTCCTTGTCAAATGCTTAGATCTTTTCTTCCCTACAGGGTTGAACTCTTTGGAGATGGAGATCTTGCCTTATTTACCTCCATATTCCTTGCAGCACCTAGGACATGCTTGGCCCATATTTGCTGTTATGAACAGGGGCTGCCTCAGTGCTCGTATCCCCATCCAGCCATAAACCTTACCTGATTGCCTATGTCCATCTTAGCCACCATCACCAATGACCTGGTGACTCTTCTTTTGTTCTCTACATCAATGGAAATGAACAGGAAAAAGCCGCCTGGGTACTCAGAGGCTGTCCCTCCCTGCAGCAAAGAGGCTCATGGCCTGGTCGCCTGCCTCAGCCACAGCAAGTATTTCCTATACCCTCATGCAGCAGGGCTGCAGATGGGAGTTTTGTGTTCACTAATATCAGGGCCTTTGGAA